AGGAACTGTGTCAAGCCAGGTTTTGAACTGGTCTCCTCTTTGATACCCTCACGTGGGCGAGGAAGCCGGACAGAGGGCAGCGACGCTGAGTTCGTGAGGCGGGCGACGAAGAACCTGCTCAAAACATCCCAGTCGTTTTTCTTGGATGTTGCCGCAGCCAGTGTGGACGAAGTCAGTGTAGTTCATTTGAAGCATGGTCTTTAGGCAGCAGTGGTTAAACACCTCCAGCTGTTAGTTCATCTTCTATTCGTATAGCTCAGCATTAAAAACCATACACGAGCACTGGTCGGACAGATACAGGCTTCACGCCGACCTTCGTAGTGGTGGAGATTTTGAGGAACAGTTCATATACGCCTTCTGAAGATGGTGAAAACCCAGCGAGCAACGTCGATTCGCGAGTCAATGTGGTCCTTACAATGTTTATTCGACAACAGGCTCACTCCGAGGTAGCTAAAGCTATGTACTTATTCGGCTTAACGGCCATTAGTTGCGAGAGGTGCCTTCGCCTGGCCCTGGATGCAACTCTAAAATACTTTACAGCGTGCATAGAGCGACTAAATTATCGACTTCATTGATAGTTTGAATGTCGTCACCGACGAAGGTCACCCGTGGCTGGCCTGCTAATAAGCTTATGCTGATGGTAGACTTGGGCAGCATTTACCACCCTCTCCTCCCTCGCCCTTCTGGGTCCGATGTCACGACGGATTCAACACTGGAGGTGTGGGTCACACGCGACCTGGCTTTCCACACAACATACTAAGTTTTCATTTAAAATGAGGTGAAGGGCTCGGATTTCACATGCGTGACAGCAATTTAAATCACCCGTAACATCATAGGCTGCAGATGACTATAGTTCATGACTAGCAGAATGGTGTCGTCAGCGTAGTAAATATCAGTTAGCCAGTGGCCGGGTGCAACCTCGACGTTGGCAGGACGTTGTAACGCTCCTCTGAGAGTCCAGTTGCTGTTGAAGTTGAGCATGATAGACTAAATGATGCGGCCTTTCCGAAATGCTGATCGAATATCGAACGAGTGAGAGATATTCTGTGGAAAGGACTCCAGCAGTGGTGGAGCGATAGTAAGCGATTGTTGCTGGCGCATCACAAGTGGCCGCCACAGTGACTCAAAACAGCTGGAATCGAGCGCTGAGTTCGGTAGGACAAACAGAAATTTGCTTCGGATAAAAAATGTCTATTTGTGTTTGACCAAGCTGTTGAACGTAATGCCTACTTTGGCAAAAAAACTTCGGTTGCAAGGAGACAATAAGTATAGCCGTATCTGATGATGGGTTCGAGCATGAATTCGAAAGGTCAAGCGAATAAAGTTCTTGTTTCGGTGATCTCGAAAGTAGGGGAGGGGGACACAGTTGTAGATGAATTTCACTCTGACTTGTCTAATTGCATGCGTTGCGCGGAAGGATTTTTGGAATAATTCCGCCTAAATAACTACCTACATATCTATTGGACCACACCCTATTTGCTATGCTCCGATTCCAAGAAACCAGCATCAGAAGTCGAGACAGCAAAACGTATGATAGACAGTTATCAACACAGCTAACGGCACAGGAGCAACAATGACAGTTCCTTTCCTGTGGTTGCCGCACAAAATTTCCTCCAGTTTGTTTTGCCTGGAAAAAGGAATAAATAAGAGAGCGCGAGATTGTGACGGAGGCAGTAGCGACCTCGAAATTACAGAGATGCATTAAGCGGCGCATAAGGGACGGTGCATATACGAAAATACAGAAACTGTACAAATCCTGCTCTTGAGGAGACAAAGGCATTCAGGCAAATGTGACTTGAGGTAGATTTCGTTTAGTGCTACCTATCCGACAACCAGAGCCATTAGCAAGGTAATAAACAAACTACATTTGAGACTAAAAGGGCATGTGAGTATGAGGAGGAGGATGACGGAAAATGGCCTACTCACAAGTTGAGAACGTCGTCGAACTCCAGATCAGCTATACCCGGTAGAATATCACAGAGAAGGCGAGTCTCCTCAATTTGGTGTCCCACCTTGACGATGCAGAAGGCGGCATAGCTGTCAGAGGAGAGCTCGCTGGAATCACCGCCCACAGAGGGAGATCTCAGAGAACCCACCACAGTCGAAGGGGTGGCGGTAAAACCACAAAGTTTGTTCAAAGTCATGGTTGAATTTGCCATTAGAACGGAATTATCCCGCCAGAGCAGTGGAATCCGTATACCTAACGCAGAAGAGTGAAAGAGAGTCCACATAAGACATTAAGTGCTTAAGAAAGAGATAATCAGCTAGAGAGGAAGCCCGTCTCAAAAGTATCTTAAATGATTCAGGAGGAGCATGTGCACTAAAGCCTATTGTGCTGATTTAAGCGCTTCGCGCCCGGGCGTAAAAGCCTATTGTATAACAAACGGACTCGAGAAACATAAAGCAACAAAATCCCATCATAGCAGGTCAGCTCGACAAAGTAAAGTGCAAACTTGACACAACAATGGCGGTTAGCGGTTGATGGCAATCAGCTGGTGGCGAGTGGCAAGAAAACTTATAGGCTTGCATAGTCAAGTTCTCCCGGAGGCAGGGCTACGTAGGGACACAAAAGAAATAGTCTTACAAAGAAGCAACAC